GTTTGAATAATATGATTTCATTTGCTTTTCTGTAAGTATCTGGAAAATCTTCTAAGTGTATCTTTAAAAACAATGATGAGTATAAGAATACTGAAAATAAGCTGTTAATGATCACATTAGAATCATGAAACTCCATGATATCCGATTTAAAGGCCCTCTATATGATTAGATATAGGTCAGACTAGTTCTTTAAGCATTTGGAAATCGCTTAATTATAAGTGTCAGTAAAAACATACTGATAGCTGTAGCTAGTCGACTGACAAGATCAATGTTTCGAAAAAGCGTATACGTTCAATATAATAGATATATCGGGCTCAGGCTAGTGAAATTCACCTTGCTGTAGTCTCGATGCATTGTCTGAAGTGGAGATGCCAGAGTGGGCTGCCGTAGCTGTTGAAGTCATAGGTATCACCCCACAGCTACGAAATCTGTTCCATTGGCAAAAAAGATCTCGTGCAATACGTCCAGAATAGAATACCTCTGGATGCTCAACAAGAAGACGCTCAAAAACGAGCTCCGGATCACTCTAAAATAAATATAACCAAATTTATATCTCAAGTACAAATACAAGAAAACTTAATCAATATGACTTAGTCTATTATGTGCAAATTTGCAAACAATAGAAATAGAAATAAGACGACTATATAAGACCCTTTGCCTGATAAGCAAGTAGTCAGATTAGCCCTTAAACTTCAGAAATGCCACCTCCGTAGACAAGCGAAGAACTTACATCATATTCTATAGTTTTAAAGTTCCAGCAGCTGGACGCAAAGACCGACTTGGAAGAAGGACAGCAATTATATTATAAGGAAAAGCTCGGTTTCGAAGCTTATGCTTATGAGAGGAATGAGCTAATAGGAACAGAGTGATTAAGTAACTCAGGCCTTAAAGGAGCAGGGACTTGATAGCTAGGAGACATGATAATAAATCACTTAGATATGCTATCAGAAGAAAGTTCCGGTAAGCTAGCCTAACCATGATGAAAATAAGTTAATGAATTTGTCCTCAACCCCTCTTGATCCAAACCATGGAAATCATGAGAAAATTACTAAATTTTTAACACAACGAAAGAAACGCTTTGGGATATATAAGAGCTGTATTCACCCTATTTCGTTTAAGCTGAGGGGTCCGACAATGAAGATCAACAGGACACTAAAGGACATGCTAAAAAATTCATGAGAACAGATAAATCGACAAATGAACGATGGATTTTCCAGTAAAGGAAACAATACCTTCGATAGAACATGAATTGCGAAATGTGCACAAAGAGGAACCAAGGCTGATAGTCCATAAAGAGACAAGAAACAGCACATAAACTGTCGGAATTCAAATTTTTGAAACTGGGGAAGGTAAACGATATATTATGAAGTGTGAAGAATGTGCATGCATTTTCTTAAGGGATCGAAAACAAAGGGCTGGAAGTTTTGACATACAATCATTCCAGGCGATAGGACACTCAGAGATAAATTTCATACAGGAATCATCATCAATTGTGATATAGCTTTCCATATAGAAGGAAAAGTTGGTTGAAAGGGATTCTCTTGATTTCGTATATTTTTCGCATTAC